CCTCTTCCCTCGCCCCTACTCCCGGTGGCCTGGTTCTGTAGATGGGTGGGGTGGGGCCTCTCTCATTGCCCCCACCCCTTCCATTCTGAGCACATGGTACTGTAGCCCAACCCCCCCCCCCCCCCGCAGCCTTCCATCCGTCTGTCTATCCCACTGGGGAGTACCACCCTCTCCCACCCTCATGATACTGTACAGGGTTCATTTTTGTAGCGAAAGTAGTTTCTGTCCTAGCCGGCAACCGGAGTGGGCCTTTTTTTGTTTGTTTTCTTGTTTTCCTTTCTTTCTTTTTCTTTGTACATACTGTAAGGTTTGTTTGTAAATTTATTCTACAGAGGCAAAAAGGGAAAATAAATGTACCCTTCCCCGGCTGACCCAGTCAGGGAAGGAAGGGCGGGGATCTCCCAAGAGGGAGAATCCCTGTTCCTGTTGTATTATATCAACTGTACCATAGACCCCAAAAGGGTGGGCTCGGCGCTGTTTGATGGGGAGTCGGTTCATCCAGCGGGTGAGGGCTGGGCAGAGCCTGTCCCTCCCCCTGCCCAGGGCTGGGCTCGACTGGCAACAGTTGAGATGGACCATCCCACCCCCAATCAGGGCTCCTCTCTCCATGGGGGGTGCACAAGTCCCCCGGGAGGTACTCCAGTTTATCCACTTTGATGGTCAATCAGTCCATTGATCGATAATCTTTCGATCTTGTCTCCAATTAAACCGAGGCTTTCACTGATCTTCCTGGCTAATGTGGCTTTCTTTCCCACCTGGTCCTTGAGGTGCGCCTCTCCAGCACTGCCTGCCTGGGGCGGGAGGTGCGGGAAAGGGGGCTCTGACCCTATCCCTCCCCAAGTACATAGAACTTGAGGGGGTTGCAGGGAGCTTGGCGGAAAGCAGCTTCCAGGCGTGGGCTAGGGCCTGGCACAGGGAACTCCGGATTGTAAAACGGAGGTTGAGACCAGGCCGTCTTTGGAGGCCAGCAGACCCAGGTGACCTCGCTTCCCCCACACAGAACATGCCTGACACGACTCGGGTTCTTCTGGAATCTCAAATCACCCCTGGAAGCCTCCAGGAGGCCTGATTGACACCTTCACCATGATTGACACCTTCTGGCTGCCAGGTCATGATAAAAGGTTTCGGGGCAAATTCTGCCGTGTAGACGTTAAACTTGATTAGCAGGCACAAGAGCATCGACACCTGTAAATCCCATGAATTCCCAGCATTCTGTCCATGTTGGTGTTGCAACCTTCATGTTGCATGAAAACAAAACCAAGGAACAAACCTGAACAATTTAAAGGCAGGATTCTGTGTTGCTTTGGGCCTGTTAGTGGTATGGGTATCAGGCAAGCAGAATCCTCCAAATTAATGACTGGACAAAGAACAGGCCTGGGTTATAAACTGTTTTCTAATTTGTTCATACAAGGTTAGGGAGTGAATGAGTCTCATATGTTAACCAATCCACATATTTTAATACTATTAATTCCACCCATGGGAGCCCCCTTTTCCCACCTTTATCAGGCTAATTAATGAGCCCCCAATTTCACCTATTCAACGGTGCTGCCCCGGCCAGTGTGGCTCGGTTGGTTGGGCATTGTCTCATGTACCTAAAGGTTGCTGGTTCAATTCCCAGTCAGGGCATATGCCCAGGTTGATTGATGTTTCACTCTCACATCCATATGTTTCTCTCTCTCCCTCTCCCTCTGTCTCTAAAAAATCTTAAACAACAAAAACACAAACGGTGCTGACATTCATTATGCTAAAGAACAAAACTTCCCAGGTAGATAGAGATATGGATAGGGGAAGTGTTTGTGATGTGGGCTTTTGGATTAGAATACTGGCTGCCTCTGGGATATAATAAGCAAATACACACACACACACACACACACACACACACAGTACTTGAGTGGTTAAGCACCGTGGGGTCAGTTAATGTATATATTACAGCTTGTGTGTTTTGGAACAAAATGAGGGCGGCTTCCTTGAATCGAAGGAAAAGCTGACACACCTGCTCTGCCATCCATCACTGGCACCAGAGACCAGTTTGGATCCCAGCTCTCGCTCTGTGCCCTCGGGTATGATCGCTCTGCCCTCAGTTGTCTCATCTGTAAAACGGGATAAAAATCTCAGACTCATGGAGTCAGTCTTGAGCAGCGCTGTCCAACTGAAACTTTCTGTGATGGGAATGTTCTATGTCTGCGCTATCAACATAGTAGCCACTAGCCCCACGTGGCTATTAAGCACTTGAAATAGCACTAGTGCAGCCCTGACCGGTTTGGCTCAGTAGATAGAGCGTCGGCCTGCGGACTCAAGGGTCCCAGGTTCGATTCTGGCCAAGGGCATGTACCTTGGTTGCGGGCACATCCCCAGTGGGAGTTGTGCAAGAGGCAGCTGATTGATGTTTCTCTCTCATCGATGTTTCTAACTCTCTATCCCTCTCTCTTCCTCTCTGTGAAAAATCAATAAAATATATTTTTAAAAAAAGAAATATCGCTAGTGCAACTGAGAAACGAGTTTTACTTTTCCTTTACATTAAATAGTCACATGTAGCCAATGGTTACTGTATCAGACTGCACAGTTCTGGGACTTACATCTGAGAGGGATGTAGAGGATTTAGTGCATCAAGGTTTGTATGCTTGACTGTGGTTTAAAGATTCACAGTAGATGTCCTGGCCCAGAGAGTGGAGGCAGCCTGGACCCAGAGAGGAGAAGCAAAAACTAGCGAGAAGTTTCCAGAGAATCTGAACTTTGTGCAAGAAGCAGAGAGGAGAACCAGCTGTTTCCCCAAGGGTGTTTCCAAGGGAGGCAGAGTCAGGGAAAGGGTATCAGGATGGGGGTCAGGGGGCAACAATACTCACCCCAGGTGGCAGGGGATGGCCAGGGGGGCCCGGGCAGCCTTCTTCCTCCAGGCCTCGGTCTCCCCCAGAGTGAAAGGGCAGGCGTGCTGTCCCAAAGGTCTCCAGTGTTGGACCAAAGTTGACAGGCTGAGAATGTTGGTCAAAGGGCAGAGGTGGCATGTGACCATCACTGGCTCTTTACAACCCTCCTGATGGGGAGTTCAGCTTTCCTCGGGCGACGATGACCAAGGGCAGGGAGGCCTTGTAATCTGAATAGGGCTGGGTAAACTGGAGAAGGGGTGGAGTCAGTTTATTCTCTGAAGTTGACATCAGCCGCTTGCAGGCTACAGAGTCTTAAGCAAACAGCTCCGCCTCTCCCAGCCTTTCCAGGCTCTGATCTCATTAGGAGGATTATTTTATTCGCTCTCCAGCAATCCTGGAGGCGTGTACTCTCGTAGGCTCTATTTTGCAGAAGAGGAAACTGAGGCCAAGAAAGGATTTCACAGTGTTGGGAAAATTCAGGGAAATAAGGCCAGGATCTCACTTTACCTGGTGACTGTTCCACAATGATAGCTGCTTGATACTTTTATATTATTACCGCTATTTTATTTCACACGCACAAAATCTTGAGATGTGGGTAATATTTTTCCCTCTTTCATAGCATAAAACTATAGGGAAGTGCAAATGAAAAGCACTGTAGTTCCTTTTTTATCTATTGGCAAATAATGAATATATAAACCGTTCTGGGGTGGGCAAAGCACTTTTATAGCTCGTTAGTGCTAATGGAAGTTGACACAGAGAACTTTCCAGAAGTGATCTGTCAATATTTATCGAAAACATAACAACTGTGCATGCATTTTGACCCAGCCATTGCAGTTTTAAAAGTACTTATCATAAAGAAACAGTTGGATGAAAACCATAAGATGCGGGTACAAAAGGCCCACTCTGGTGTTGGTCAGAATATTAAAGAATTATTAAAGACCCAGATGTCCAACCTAGGGAGTCATTAAAGTATGCTTTGCCGGCACAATGGAATAATATGCAGCCATTAAGAACAATAAGGTGAGTGCTGGCCTGTGTTTCTCAGTAGTTAGCGTGTCAGCCTGTCCCTGAAGGGTTGAGGGTTCGATTCCCAGTCAAGGGCACGTACCTGGGTTGCAGGTTTGATCCCCAGTCGGAGCTTGTGCTGAAGGCAACCAATCGATATGTCTCTCACATCGATGTTTCCTTCTTTCTCTCTCTCTCTCTCTCTCTCTCTCTCTCTTCTTCCCTTCCTTCCTTCCACTCCCTCTAAAATGTAATGGAAAAACATCCTGGGGTGAGGATTAAACAATAAGGTGAGTCTACATTGAAATGACAAGATGTTTAACGTGAGAAGGGCAGGTTTCAAAACATTCTGCATTATATAAGATCCTACTAAAAAATATGTGCATAGAAAAGGCA